GGTGAATCTGTGATATACTTTTGTTTTTACAGTGCATAAAGGATATGGTCACAGAACATGCCATTCAGTTTTCGGGTAAATTTGAACCCGTTAAATAGAAATGCAGAGCACCATTGGTGAATGGCAAATGTGAGCGGCAAGACAGATATAAGGTACATAGCAACAGTGGTTGCTAAGCATTATTAAGTAAGAATGGGAATCCACTATTTCTGTAAATACTATGTGTATTAATTGTATGACCAGTTTATGCAAATGAGGCATTGTCAGGTGACACTCATTATACGTAATCCAATGTAATGTGCTTACTAGTTTTTTTGTTCTTTAAAACTATTATCTATGTACTAGGAGGGGACTGTTTTTCAGAACTAGGTTATTCACACATGGCTCAGGTGAGAAGCAGTGACGTGAATGAGCTAAGCAGGTGGTTAATGGGTGAAAACAACACGTAGTTCACTATGTGTATGAATCAGTTGTACAGGTCTACAGGTCAAGGGGCCACTGTCTTGCTATACAAAACGAGTTAGGTAACACACATACCCTGTGACAACACACAACAATCAGAGGCTGCAACAATCAGAGTATTGTAACTTAGATACTAGTTAATAGTCTGTTTAGAGTTTTGTTTCTAATAAAGGTGCAGGCCTCGATTACCGATTAATCGATCATCACAGACTTTGCTGCAAGTTGTGAACACTATGTCCTGTTGAAGCTGTGGGGCTTTGCTTAGCAAATTATTACCAAATATAATGTACGAGTTATTTAGAAGAAAATAAATTGGTTCCTATTTCTGTTAGCACAATCATACAAGTCCAATCAGTTAAATCATGTCATTCATTTCGTCAATCGAACATTACAATATTTACCTGCTGGACTGTTATTATTATTCAACTTATTACTTTGTATATTGATCGCAAAGGTAATTGTATTGGATCGATAAATCCAAAAGCATTTTGGTATTAGTACGTTATTTTAGAATTTTTTTTTTATTGGGTTTCATTCATGTCATAGTTGGTCCAAAAAATACTGTTTCTAGTGTAATTTTTTGGCCGATTACCATGCTTATATGTTTTTTGGAAGGCTTCTATTCATTTTGTTCAGTGATGCATTGTTATGGTTTAGTGTTTATGTAATTTAACTGCTTTGTTATATTGACACAGCTCAAGCAGTAGCTACTTCTGAATGGTAAGATTTTGAGCTTGGGAAAGCCACTGAATAGGCTTAGGGTCTGCAAGTAAAGTTACAAAGGGAAGGAAAAGGGCAAAAGAATGACAAAGAAATATTCAAACTAAACCCCAACCAATATACTGTTTAATACATTAAAATTGTTTTAGTCCTACTTTATCATTCAGGCAGCCGGCTTTAGTAAGCTTCCCTAAATTGTGGGGTCTACTCTAGAGGCACCAGGTCCATGAAGAGTCACCCGAGTTCTGCCTTTTTGTGTCTAAAAATTTCAGCCATCAGAGCTTTCTCACTTTGGGAGAACGTGCTACTCTGCCTAAAGAGTACAGATTTTCTGGTAGGTGATGTAGTAAACTAGTAGGGTTGTTCAAACCTGTTTGTTTACTTAATCATACCTACCAGAAAATTCCATGGATCCCGCCCACCTCCCCACAAGCTTCTGAGGAACCAGTTGTCTGACTTCATCAAGAATGAAACATATGGATGGCAGCAACTAACCTTTTTTTCTTTAGATACACAGCAAGAGTAAATCAAAGAAAGCTTAGAAAAAACTTGTGTGTTCAGAGAATTGAAAGCATATTAAAAATCAATTCAAAATTTAAGATTACATTCAAATGAGAAGCTTGGCAACTAATATTTGTTTGCTAATTTAGATGCACAACTGAACATGAAAACAATGCGATTCAGTTTATTCTATTAGTTTATAATAAATAATCAATATGCAAGTTTTTCAACATTATTAAAAATTACCCCTGAGCATTGACGAACCAAATTACAATAAAATTGTTTATTATGCAAGTTAGTATGCTCAAATTTCAACCCAAAACAGATCTTCAGCATTGTTTCCAAGCATTTATATACACGGTACCAAGTATTACTAAAATTAAATAACAAAGCTAGTCAATCCTTTCCCAGCAATAATTGTTTTTTGAGATATAACTTTAGGTAGAAAAATTTACATTTATTATTATACAAATTAAGCAATTATTATGCATAGATTTCCACCCAAAACGAATCAGTTATGTGTATTGTTCAGGGGCACATGTACCAAGTTTTATTATAAAAAAGCGGGTATAATTCTTAAAAAGAATCAATATAAAAGCGAGATGTAAATTATTATTCAAATTAGGTAATTATAATGGATGTATATGAACCAACAACTACCGGTAATTAGACCATCACATTGCCTTAGAGTTGTATTCATGTACTAAGTTTCATTGAAATGTGATTAGAATTTTGGATATCAGTGGAAAAGCTGAAAAACTATTAATTATTGTGCAAATCTGTTAATTAATAAGCAGACTTCAACCAAAAACTAACCAGGTTTGCTCATTGTCCCAGAGCATCCATGAACTAAGTTTCATTGAGATCTTACCGACAATTACCGAGATTCCCATAATGGTGGAACAGACATACGTACATACATACATACATACAACTGTACATGCATACCAGTACAGACAGACAGGGTGATCAGAAAGACTTGCATTGTGTACCTCGCACACTGGAGCGAAATAAAAAACAGATCACAAAGTTTTAATATCTTTTTAGTTCAAAAACATTGTGTAAATAAAGTATTTGTTATTGGGTACAGGTATTGTAAACAAATCAATTCAATGCATTCATTTCTACGAGTATACATATAATGTCGCACTTATGAAAGCCATTATTGTACATAAACAAGAAATTATAACATGTTCTATAAGATTGTTTGCACAAATTCAAACACTTATTTTATTTGAAAATTTTACACATGATTGATAAAATACAACCAAAATATTCTAAAGGAACAAATATAGTAATTCACACATTTGACATGAATGCATTTAATTTACTGTAATTATATATACTTTCACACAAATTAATAAAACAATCCATTAACTTTCTGAGTAATATTTCTACAGAACTTGGGAGAAAAAAAATTAACAAAGATTTGAGATATGAAAACAGAGTGCAGAAAATTAATCAGACACAAGTGGAAGACTTCAGACACCTCAGTCTAGCGCCCCCACAGTTGACATTGAGTATACTACTCAGATTGAGGCTCCTAGACATATATATACTGCAATCCAATAGCATGTAAAATTTATAGCTATTTCTTCTGTAAGAGAACATTTATCTTGCAATAATCAGAAAAGGTTTGAGAAAATATATAGTTTTATAAAAATTACTAAATCTGCTATTAATAGAGAACAAAATAGACTTTTTCTTTATAAATATATACATAATGCAGAAGATTGCACTCATGAAACCAATTACTTCTACCTAATTATATACCACTGAATACTATATATTAAAATTTAGGTTTTAATTATTGTTCTTAAAATTTGATATTAAATTCAGCAAATATTTATAAGATGAGGGGTGTGTAACTGTTTTGATGATATGTAATGTAAATACATAGACAGGCAAAATACAAAACTATCGTAATCTATGTATATGTTAATGCAAAGACATTGGAAAATCTTTTCTAGTGACTTTGGTTAACGCAAGTCTGCGAGAGAAATAGTTATTTTGGGCTGTGTTTTTTTTTTCTGGTGCCCTTATTTGCGAAATATTTATTACGGTGCTGATGTGTGTTTTTAAATACAGTGGTAATCTTGTTCATTTCTATTTATGCAAACATACAACACAGTAATATTGACTTGTAATATGTTTGCTCATATCACTGTACATAATGTAACTCACTCTAATCTTCTAAATTCTTATTTCAGACCAATTTGTCAAAGGATGCTCTGTTTTGGCTCAAAACTGATAAAAACATCAGAAGTTTAAATGCATCTTTATTGTGAAGACAAGATAAAATGATCAGAGATCTCACCATCATCTATTACTGTAGAATACTTTAATTTCACTCAGAATTTATCATAGCTGTCATTTTTTTAATCTAGTGCATATGTTTATGTCTTTATACAATGTTCAGAAATTTGTGAAAATTAAAATTAAAGTAACCTACAGTAAAATAAAAGTTTTAAATCATGAGAATTTTTTCCCATCAATTTTTTATTTGAAAGTAAATCATCATAACACTAACTTTGCATCTGGTTTAGAAAAAAAAATTACACTAACACAATTTTTATAATGTAATATTAAATTGAAGATTATCTAATCCAAATAACTTCTAATTACTGGTGGAAAATATTATGCATTTATATGATAATCTGCACAAAATGGAAAAAATAGTAATGAATTTTGACAAAAAGTGAATACTGCAGGAGAAATATTCACTGGGTTTAATTTCAAATGAATTCAGCATTGCAGAGATATTCACTAGCTTTTATATTCATTTGTGAAACAAATAATACATTCTATGGTTAACCTTTTCACCACCAAACTTTCTCGCAAAATTGTTCTGTACTTTTTTTTTCTTATACTCCAATTTTAGAGCCAACAAACAAAATTTGAGTAAATTTCCAGTTTTTATTCTGAAATGTGGCTATTTTTGTCCTAATCTATAAACAGGACTATTTTGTGAATTTGTGATCTAAAGAGGAACCTGGTGGTGAAAACGTTAAGGTTGCAAAGTTACTGGGTTTCAATTTCTCGTTTTACCCTTCCATGAAACAAGCAAAAATAACACTCAGCAAATAAGCATATACAGTAGTTGGAAATTTGTGATTCAAAAAATCTGCATTAAAACATCATTTTTTTCAACGACAACAATTATTTATTTGATTACTATTTGTACTCAAAAGACATTGTAAATATTCCTTTACTTCCTAGCAATGTATTAACATATGAGGATGTAATCTGTTGGGTTGTGGCAAGAGGTGCTGTCCTCTGATCTTTTCTCTTGATCATCTTTAGCAACTGGTCTATATTCAGTCAACAACCAGAGTCACTAGTCCCATCACAGCAACACCACAACACAGACAAACAACTTGCTTAAATGATTCACTGTGAAGAATAAACGATGATTAATGATAGTGATTTACAGTGTACCTTCTAAAAAAGTCTGGTACTAGACAAAAATTTGAATGGAAGTAATTTTCTCAGTGTTCTGTGTCAAAAATTTTGAAATATGGAAACAATTATATGGCATTATTATATGCGATAAGTGACAAGTTGGTTTCTATGACAGAAAAATGTCATATATCCTAACTCATTTAAAACACCTGTGTGAAGAAACTGTAATAAAGTCAGCCATTGAAAAGAGCATAAATACACTGAGATAATATTACCATGAGATCTCACACAGAAACTTATTAATAAAAGCAACATCTAACGTAAACTTACACTGGGTTCTGTTCTTTGAGTAGATCTGGCACCACGGTAACCATGGCAATGTAAATGAATCCCCCTGATGTAAATGGTAGAACCCAGACTGTGCTGTCACCTGAAAAATGGAAATTACTCATACTTAGTAATAGTCAATACAACTGTACTCATCTCTTTCACTGTTTTCAGCTTAAGAGTAACAACTCTGCTGACTTAGGGGATATAATATACAAGTAATTAGTAGTTGAAAACCTACACGCTTCTGTCCATGAATGGAATAGGATGGATGGATGAATAAATGAATGAATGTCAGGATAAATAAACTGAATGCAGTTATTTTTATAAAATGACAATTTTGTTGAAATTATTTGGAATTTAAAATAGACCTTGTAATCTACATGTTTAGTAACTGTTGTAACATGGACTTTTAAAAAAATTGATATATATTATTATAAATATGTATATGGCATAATTTATTCATCTTTTTGAAAATGTCATCACAATCAATACATTGTTGCTATACAGCAGTCTATGCATTAATTGATTAGAGCACCCAATTCTAAATTGGTTTCTATGTTGAATATTATCACTGGGTCGCATTTGAACAGGAAGTGTACATATAACGTTATGACATCACAAGACATTTTCAGATAAATAAAGCTGAAATGTTTATTAAAGTGACATAAAAATTTAAAAAACAAAACAAAATAAACATAAATCTTTGAAGAAAGTGAATAATTCATATTATGACATTTTTTTCATGCTCTCAATAATATAAATTTGTTGAGAAACAAATTAAGAGATCTGACTTCTATGAATACAGGATCATTCAAGTACCACTTATTTTGACACATATCTGTCATTTACATAAACCTCATATGCTACTAATATAGCAAATTTAGTACTACCATATGGCAATGGCAAATACAAAAGATATATGCACTACTGCCACTTGACACCTCAATATTAAAATATTCCGATGGAATATATAAAAAATAATAATGAAACATATGATAATAAACCCACAGGGAAGTCAAAATAATAAGCCACGACATGCTGGACTCTCAAATTTTGAAAGTACAATGAAACAAAAGAAGATCAACAATGTTCTGATAACTTCCTGTAACAAGATCAGACGTGTTATGTTTTATGTCGAACAAAACAAACTATATGTCAATCTTGTTAATAATGAAGTCTACTCTCAGCACAACAAAAGCATTTTTTCTCATCCCTATAAATATTTATATGAATTTCAATAGTTGTTGAAATAGACCATCCGAACAATAAACATAGTGCACAACGACGTGATTTGAAAATGTTCCAATGTTATTCAATCAGGCAATAGAAAAACTTCTTGTGTCAGTTTTTATTTTGAAATTCATAAATATTTATAAAGATTAAGGGAATGCCTTTGATTCGCAGAGAATATTTCAATATAGAATATATCAAACAATAAGCAGTAAGATACAATATTTTTCACAACATGCATTTAATGACAGGACACTTAGCCTTGATGAAAGAAAAACAATCTAACCTGCGCCTTTGGCTGACTCTGCTAATAAAGTAATTGTGGCTCCAACCAATCCACCAGCAGCAGTCATCACTTGTGCCTTTGCTGCATCCTTTCTGTTGAAGCCGGACCTCAGGAGAATGGCAAAATCTCCAATCTATTTATAATAAAGAATTACACGAAAAACAAAAGTAAGGCATATGCTGAAAAAGTGACAATTTTGTAGCCCGATCTACCCACCCCACACACCAAATATTTTTTTTTTTAATTTTCTAAAAATTTAATATTGACTGAATAATTAAATTAAATTGACATTGTCAATTATATTTATTTCAGATCTTAATTAATCAAACATTTGAAATTTTTAATCAGAGAAAATTTTATGATTTTATGTATCATTTCCCAATATAGTGTGCATCACAATCATTTACAGTTCCTACTGTGCGACTATTTTTCACAAAATGGCGTGCCTCACATTTCACATCACATTTCATTTTCTTGTGTAGCCGTTTCTAAAAAAATGTATCAGTAAGATTTGGTCATCTTTATGTAGTTATATGTAAACAAAAAAATGTTCAAAATCATATCTATTATCAATTTAAAATTCACCTCATGAGGGATTTCGTGCAACATTATGGCAGCCGTTGTGAGTATGCCCATCTGAAAGACATTAAAAAGAATGAAATGTTAATGATAAATATCACAATAAATTTTTATATTTATTTGTACCGGTACATTCTGTTTGTTGTATAGTGAAATCTTTCGATGTTGAGCGTACATGTAAACGTTAAATAACAAGCCATGCATGGCACAGTCCCCATTAGTTATCAAATTTGAGATATATAGTTATCTTTATAGTAATATAGCTGGAATATAACCATGACAGGAATATGATTTTTTTAACATTAAAATGATTGACATTTGTATCAGATCCTCAAACAAGTACTTGTACATATTGAGAGATATCAGCCATTTTGAATACATGTATGTATATATATATTATATATTATATGTATAACGAATATATAAAATTTGAATATAATCAGTCAAAGTATTTAAGAGATATGA